AGCAGTGGTCTCAGGACTCCTTTACCCTCCTCGAAATTATTGAGGACCCCAAAGAGCTTTTGTTTATCTCTATCAATATTTACCATTTTAAAAATTGAAACAGACTTTATTTTTTAACTTTCTTTTCCTTTTTATTATTTCCCCCCCCCCGGTATCTTTTTTTAATTATTATTTTTATTTTTTTTAATTGTACTTTAGATGAAGGTTTACAGAACAAATAGTTTCTCAAACAGTAGTCAGTACACATACTGTTTTACGACAACAGTTAACAACCCCACGACATGTCAACACTGTCCCTTCTCAACCTTGGCTTCCCTATTAACAGCTTTCCCGTCCCCTCCTGCCTTCTAGTCCTTGTCCCTGGACTGTTGTGCCCCATGAGTCTCATTTTGTCTTATGGGGCTGTCTAATCTTTGGCCGAATGGTGAACCTCGGGAGTGACTTCATTATTGAGCTAAAAGGGTGTCCAGAGGCTATACTCTCGGGGTTTCTGCAGGCTCTGTCAGGCCAGTAAGTGTGGTGTTTTTTTGTGAGTTAGAATTTTGTTCTACATTTTTCTCCATCTCTGTCTGGGACCCTCTGTTGTGATCCCGGTCAGAGCAGTCAGTGGTGGTGGCCGGGCACCATATAGTTGTACTGGATTCAGTCTAGTGGAGGCCGTGGTAGTTGTGGGCCATTAGTCCTTTGGACCAATCTTCTCCTTGTATCTTGTTTTCTTCATTCTCCCTTGCTGCCGAAGGGGTGACACCATTGGAGTATCTTAGATGGCTGCTCACAGGCTTTTAAGACCCCAGATGCTACTCACCAAGGTAGAATGTAGAACATTGTCTTTATAAACTGTTGTTATGCCAGTTGAGCTAGATGTTCCCCGAGACCATGGTCCCCACAGCCCTCTGCCCAGCAATTCAGTCCCTCAGCGAGTTTGGATGTGTCTATGGAGCTTCCATAACCTTTCCTTGTACAAGTTGTGCTGGTTTCCCCAGCATTGTGTATTGTCTTACCCTTCACCAAAGTTACCACTTGTCTATTTAGTATTTCCCCCCCATCCCTCCCATCTCTCGTAACCAACAAAGATTGTTTCTTTCTGTGTGTAAACTTTTTCTTGAGTTTTTACAGTAGAGGTCTCATACAATATTTGTCCTTTTGTGATGGACTTACTTCACTCAGCATATTGTCCTCCAGTTTCATCCATGTTATGAGATGCTTCACAGATTCATCGTTCTTTATTGTTGCATAATACTCCATTGTGTGTATGTACCATAGTTTGTTTATCCATTCATCTGTTGATGGGCATCTAGGTTGTTTCCATCTTTTTGATATTGTGAACAACACTGCAATGAACATGGGTGTGCATATGTCTATTTGTGTGATGGCTCTTATTTCTCTGGGATATATTCCTAGGAGTAGGATTGCTGGATCATATAGTATTTTTATTTCTAGCTTTCTAAGCAAGCGCCATACGATCTTCCAAAATGGTTGTATCATTTTGCATTCCCACCAGCAGTGCATAAGAGTTCTGCTCTCCCTGCAGCCCCTCCAACATTTGTTATTTCCAGTGTTTCTGATTTGGGCCAATAATGCCGGGGTGAGATGGTATCTCATTGTGGTTTTAATTTGCATTTCTCTAATGGCTAGTGATCGCGAGCATTTCCTCATGTGTCTGTT